TAACGCACTTGCCTCAGAAACGTAAGATCCTTGGTTCAAACCCCACTTCTGGACAAGCTATGCGACATCGGTTGGGAAGGAGGCGTGAACTTCCTATTAAATGCTCTTCCGCGGTGCTCTGTGATAAGACCGTAAGGACTTCTTGGGGCACCTAAAAAAAAAAAAAATAAAAAAAAAAAAAGTTTTTAAAAATCAAAAACTTAAAACATTTTGTAAGAAAAAGTATGAATTCTATCATTTTTCTTTATATATACTAAAGTGGATTTTTGTTAACTTATATTCTTTTTTTAGGAAAATTGCTATTTACAGCAAGTCGATTAATGCTGGTAATTGATTGCATTGTTGTGGTTGATGGAATGACCAATTTTGTCAAGTTATTGTGTTGTTTTTTTTCGAGTCAACGGTATATTATGTTTATGTTATGTTAAATTAAATCTATTTAATTTTTCTAAAGTTTATATTGTATTTGATTTTAATGTTATTTTTTATTTATTGATGAGAATGTTTTCAAACGCCAATTGCTTATAAATATGTTATCGACCGTTCTAGTGTATTTTTCGGCATCAATCCTGAAAAAGGGAGCAAATCAAGGCGAACGAAGAAGACTTCATCACTAAGCAAACTAAGAAAAATTTTGCTGTCAATACTGCAGAAGTTTGCGAGATTTAATAATATTTGAATTTACCATGTAGTTAAACTTCCAAATATAACTTTGAAAAAACAATTAATTTTGTAGTTAATTATATTTATTTGCAATTTTTCAAAAGTTTTACAATAATATCTTTTTCTTTTTTTGAATTTGATTTGCTCTTAAACTCGAATATAAATATTTATTTAACATATTAACATGTCACATAATTTAAGTTTGCGTTTTTTTTGGAACCTATTTACATTCGTTTAATTTATCTGAGTTACTATTTTTATTTATGTAATAATGTAAATAATGTAAAATGAAAAGATTTTTAAAAGTATGACGTGTTTTTGTCGCCATAAGCATATAAACAAGCATATATGTTGATAGATATTTATAATTGAAGAAAACATTATTGAAATACAATTGAATTAAATGAAAAAAAGACAAAATAAAATAGGCAAAAAATTAAAAAAAAAATAGTAAAAAGATATTTTGTACCAATTTATATTGTACAATATATGTTTTACATTAAATGAATGAGGCATTTCTGTAAATTAATCACGGTACTATGCCGTAATTCACTCTGTTTCATCACAGAAAAATCAAGGTATTTTACCATAAAATAACGGCGTTTTACTGTGAATTTATTCACGGTGTTCTTCCGTAAATTAATCACGGTACAATACAGGCTTTTATGGGTAACGGTATAGTACCGTGATTTTCACGGTAAAGTTTTACAGTGTATGGTAAGAATCATATATTATTTATTAAAAAAGAATCAGTGTATATTATTTATTATTAAGAATAATATATTTGATTTATTTTTAATTTTAATATATCATTATTGCTTTCATTTTAGAAGTATTCTTTTAAATATATTTTTCTTTTTTAAAAGTGGGCATTTTTAGAGTTCATATATAGAGTTCATTTTTATAATTAATATTAATTTTCTTTATACATACCGTATTGGACAAAACATTTGCAACCAACATCGAACAATGCTAAAAAGTGTTCCTAATTTTACATGTCTTAAAAACGAAACGAACTATACTACCACAGCAAACAGTTCAGGAGTCTGAAGTCATAGCATGCCATGAAATGAGCAATCAGCTGACAGGTGACAGCACACAGGCAGAATTTCGTGGACAAGTGCCATTTTGCAGCGGACAAAACAAGTGCAATTTTTTTGGTTTGTTTCATTTTCTTAAGTCTGGTTCGTGTCAACGTCACGTTTTTTAATAATTAAAGGAAGTATCCAGAAGTTTCCAGAAGTTTCCAGAAGTATGCAAAAGCTTCCAGAAGTAGCCAAAAGAAGCATCTGAAAGCATCCAGAGGTATCCAGAAACATTCAGACGCATCCAGAAGCATCGAAAAGAAGCATCTAGAATCTTCCAGAACAGGGTCACACAGGTTTATCTTACTATATAAGAGATATGTAAACCGACATGTAATTCAGTCATTAATATGGAAGTCAATCAGTCAGTATTATCAAGACAGTTTATCGAAGTGAGTTTTATAAAAGTGTTTTATCGAAGAATATCAATAAAAGAAGTGAAATACAGCAAGTGTTTCATTACATTAATACAGTCCACATCCAACCAAAACGTTGTGTTCCACAGAGCATTATTGTATCATCACAAGGTAAATGTAACACGGTAAGTCTTGAGAAGCGTGATTATTTATTTTTATTATTTTTATGACTTCAAGTGCAAAAAAGGCTCCCGACAGTCTTGGATTGAAACTAAGAATGAAAATTATTGGTGATTACGTAAGTGGAAAGTCGCAAAAAAGTATTTGTGATAAATATCGCATGAAAAAATGGACCGCATCAAGACTATGTTCTAAAAATCGTTCTACGGGGAAGTTGGTAGCAGATAACAAAAGTGGAAGACCGCGTTCCACCACTTCTAGAGAGTATTCTATGATCGTCAGATCCGTTAAGAAGGATCCCTGGAAATCATCAGTCGAGGCGCAAAAGCAATTAGAGCTGCCTGTATCGGACCGAACAATCAGACAACGTTTTGTTGAAGCCGGATTGTTTTCTTGACGCCCTGCAAAGAAACCGCTGGTTTCACTAAAGAACCAGAAGAAAAGACTCCTGATTGCTACATCTCATATTGACTGGAATATGCAGAAATGGCGAACTATCCTATTCAGTGATGAATTATAGTTTAACATCATTGGAAGCGATGGCATTTGCCGGCCGGAAAACGCCTCAATTTACGTTACTGCCATAAGACCCTGAAGCATGGTGGAGGCAATGTAATGGTCTCGGGGTGTTTTTCTGCAAACGGTGTAGGTCCAATACATCGATTCGAAACTGCAAAAGTAGTCATGCAGTGGTTACAAGACAACCACCTATCGGTAATGGATTGACCGCCTCAATATCTGAATCAAAACCTTATTGAGAACCTGTGGGAGATCGTCAACCGCTGAATTAACCGTGAAGGTGTTCGTAATAAGGATCAACTGTTTGAACAAATTTAAAAGGCCTGGGCAGCAATACCACAAAGTTTCATTAATCACCAGATTTAATCTATGCCTCGAAGATGAAATGCTGTGATCGACAACAAAGGATTCGCCACAAAATAATGATAGCGAAGTACAGCTTGGTTAACATTTTGTGGAGTTGCACTTGTTTTGTTCAGAAGGAAATCAACTTTTTTTAATACTTTTGATTAATTTATTGATTTTTGTGTACAAATAATGAACTTTGTGATGAATAAAACTTTAAGAACGTTGTCTCTAAACAGTTTCATAGTTATTTCTCTAAATTGAAAAAATGCAGCACTTTTATAAAAAGAAACTAAATAAACATTATTTTGTTGCACTTGTTTTGTCCAATACTGTATGTATGTATGTATGTATGTATGTATGTATGTATGTATGTATGTATGTATGCATGTGTGTATGTATTATACATATTTATATATCACTATTTTGTCATAGGATGCAATTCTTTATAGTTAATGATGTTAGGACAACTAGAAATTTACTTGCTTATATCTTTTTTTTAAGGTTAAGCATGAAACTTGAAGTTTTTTTGTTTTTCAAAATAAATTTAGCATTGCGTAATCCATAGACGATCCCTTATATGTTATATTTTATTATAGTATATTTTTTTTAATTGTCATGCAAATTTTCAATGTGTATTGCATCTTTTCTTTTTAGGTAAAACAGTTATTTGGTGGTAAAAATCCAGGTGGTAGAATTAAAATGTTTTGCTTTTTATAATAAATATTATAATTTTTTTTTTAATTCAAAACAAAGTTTGAATTTTAACTTTTATGTTTGACAGTAGTGCGAACAGACTATATTTTGTCAGAACACAGCATGAATGGTCTAAAGAAGAAAAAAAAGTTTAAAGAGTTGACAAGTCTATGTAACGCTGTCACTGGTATTCTTATTAGCTTATTAATGTGTTTAATTAATTTTTAAAATTGAAAATGATGTTTATTTTTTTTTAATTAAAATTAAAAAACAAAAAGACGTCTCTAGGACGTCTGAGTAAGACGTCTTTAAGTCTTTCATATGAGACCAGCCAGAGACGTCTCTAGGACGGCTGCAAAAGACGTCTTTAGGACGTCTTATAAAGACGTGTTTAGGACGTCTGGAATAGACTTCTTAAAGTCTTTCATTTGAGACTAACTAAGGACGTCTTACGGACGAGACTTAAGACGTCTTATGGACGTCCTTAGGACGTCAAAATGCCCGCTGGGTAATAAGTTAAAAACAAAAGTAACCCTAACTTAAGTGACAACCCTAACGTTAGTCATTTTCATTCAAGAAAGAGTGTAGTTGAGCTATAACAGGTGTTCAGTAATCAAATTTGAGAATAACGTTTTTTTATCACTCTCATTCCATCAAAATTAATAAAATTCATAAATCAATTTTTTGGCATTTTTAAGTTACATAAATCACAAGCATTAAAACCGCCTCAAAGTGATGGGGTTGTAGAAAATGCATTCACCTTTAGAGCTTGACAGTGCTCGAAGTTGCAAGAAGTAGCAGCCAAAATCAATTTTACCTTCTAGTAAACATGTTAATCATTTATTTTATATACTTATAGATGCGTTTGCTTGTGTTCCAAAAACTATTAGGTTATATATATACTTCTCTGATAATTGTAATAAAGATTTTTTATATGTTATTTAAACAATAGAAAAAGAAGATTATTTACATTTATATTTTGTTATTATTGCAAGAAATTAATAAACTTTAAATTTATTATAAAATTTATTAAAAAATGTGCCACGAACAAAATGAATTTAATATTTGTGAAGTAATAAAGTTTAACATATTTTTTATTAAATTTTTAGTTGTTCTGAATTTTTTTAAATTTGTAACTGTAAAAACAGTTTGTGAGTTACAAAACTGACTTTTTCAACTTTTGTGACAAAAGTTGACAACATCATGTTCTTAAAAAAAACTTTTGCATTGCATAGCATAGCATAGTGGGCCAGGCTGTGACAAAAGTTGGAAACGTCGTGTTCTTAAAAAAAAAATTTAGATTTAAAATAAAACTCTTTTAGATTAAAAAAAACTTTTTTAGATTTTCCTTATATGGAAACATGTTTCGCTTGATTATTCGTAAAATAATTATGTCAATATATGTTAATTATTTAGATATTGGCAGTAAAAAGTAAACTTTCGATTTGGAAATAACCGCTATTTATTTATAATATTCTAAACTACTAAACTTTAACTTGTTGGTGTATTCAGGCCCGCCGCGTCCCTTTATGACGCCTGGGGTCAAAATTTATCTAGCGCCCTGTCATATTGACCGAATCAAAAAAAATTTAGATACTGTCCAAATGCTAAGTTTTTTTTTAAGTTTTACTTTTTAAAACTCACTTTAAGAGGCCGAGAAGGTAAATACAGTCGAGAAGGCTTCTATACATTTTTTAAATAAGTTTGAAAAAATGTAAAGAAAGAAGCACAAGTTGAAAAATTAACTTTATTATATTGCGAGCAACTGTAAATTTTAAATGTAATAGATATTTTAAATGCTTTATAAGAATTTGACTCTCCGTGCTTTATTTAAAGCAAAATTTTCAATGACCTCGTCGTAGCACAGACTTTTTGCTAGATCGTGCTCAATAGATATAACTAAGAGATTGGTAAGCCGGTCTTGACTCATTGTAGATCTTAGTGTTGTCTTGACTAGACCAAGCTTGCTGAAAGACCGCTCTCCTTCGGCGATGGAAACGGGAATTGTGTTAAAAATACGTAATAAAATCCATGTTGATTCGAAGATAGACTCTAGACCTTTTTGATAAATTCCATTTAATAGTTTCATTGAAGTGAGATATTCTTTTGGACCGAAAAGATTGGCACGCTTTAGAGTATCCAGATGACGGACCTCTAAAATAAGTTTGTCTTCATCTACATCGTTCACATACATTTGCGCCAAAGTTTTACATTTTTCCTCCAGGCTAGGTTGTTCAATTTCTTTTTCCTCACTCGACCTACTATTAGATTCTGAGAGCCATAGAAAAGAAAAACTGTTAGTTGTCTTTTCTGCAGCTTGAAATCTGTCTTTTATTTGTTGAATTAATGTATCGAGAGCGGTGTTGAATACATTCACCTCAAACTGTTTTTCATCGTTTTCTAAGAAATGAACTTCGTTCCTTGTTTCTTCGTAAAAAGTTTTCCTCTTTCATGTCCTTTTTTGAACTAGTTTTGACTGAAACCCATAACTAGCTAGACCGGAGGCAACTAAATATGCTTCATTAATTAATTCGGGCCAAGAAGATCTAAGTCTATCCTCAATAAGAATCTTCATAAGTTTCATCTCATCGTCTAAAGTAATGTTTTCTGATTGAAATGACACGCTGACATAGTTTATTGCTTGCAGCGCTTTGAACCAGAAGGTTGTCATGATAATAAACTCAAATGACTGACTCCATTTCTCTAAAGATTTTACGTCAATCAATAGATCAGCAGTTAAATCAAGATCACGAAGTTTCTGCAAAGATAAAAGAATTTCTCTGGGTCGCTTAACCAAAGGCTTCACAGCCTCAATGCATGCACTCCATCGGGTTTGTGAAGTTTGATGTAGAGACAAACCAGTTGTCTCGGTCAAGATTTTCCATCGTATAGGGCTTCCACTAAAAAGATTGTAGAGTAACTGAATACGACCGAAATAGTTCTTCATTTCTACAGAAGATTCAAGTGAATGAACACCAGCTAAATTAAGGTTATGAGTGCTGCATGGCATGTAGAAAGCTTGAGGATTTCTCTGAAGAATGATCGCTTGTACTCCTTTGTACACACCAGACATATTAGCACCGTTGTCATATCCCTGACCTCGACAGTTCTTCAGATCAATGTCATTTTGATTTAAGACATCTATAATTAGCTTAGCAATATCCACACCTTTCTTTTTATCGAGACTTTCGACCCCAAGAAAGCGCTCCTTAACTACCCATTTTTTATCAATACCATAGTAGACAAAGCGGAGAACAAATGCAATTTGCTCTGTATGAGAGACGTCAGGCGTTCCATCGACAAGAATAGAATAGTAAATTGCCATATGCGCCTCTTTAATGATGGCACCGTAGACGATTCTTCCGCACTCTTTTATAAATTCATTTTGAGAACTCCAACCCAAATAATGCGCAATAATTTGTTTACCTTCTTGTTGGCAGCGAGAAACTTCTTCTAGATGTAACTGAAGAGTCTTGTTGTGCTTTGCAAGTAGCTCTAGAGTTGCAAGAAAGTTGCCGTTATCGTCATCACCGATCATTTTTGATGAGCCTAAAATATCGATTTTAATTACACATATAAATCATGACTTTCTGTTTAATTATAGTAAAAATAAATTATAACGTAAACATAAATATAATAATTAATGTTCACAAATATACCTCTGAAGCTAAGGTTGCGTGATGCGAAGAAGAGAATTACATCTAAAATGCACTTTAAAATTTCACGCCACCTGGCTGCCTCATTTTTTATCAATTTTTCTAAACTTGAATCAATCCCACATTGATTTCCCAAGCTTTCCAGCGCTGTTTTCCACTTAATGTAATTGTCTCGATGGTGAGGATTGTTTTGGTGGACTTTTACTTTTTCAGCTAGCTTTCTCCAGTTTCCATTGATGCCACCATTCCAACGTAGAAGATGTGAATTATTACCAGCCCCGCAGGCTTGTTTGCTTCCGAAAAGTGAGCACGGAAAGCAAAGAAATGATTTTGAAGTTGCACTCCAAACAAGCCAATCTCTGTTTATTTTCTCCCCATTACGAGTTATTTCGTGGAAAACTGATTCAGGAACCTTAATCTTGTTTGAGTCTCTCGGAAAAGATAAAGGATTTTTAGGGGGCCCCTGAAGAACAACTGCATCGCGTTCTACTTTGGACATATTTTCAGCCCACAAAGCAGGATCCTTTGCAGTAATTGGCTCATCCAATTTATTTTTATGCTAATAATTTAAATAAAGATTTTAATAAGTATATAATTTTCACAAATTCACAAAAATAATTAAAAAATCTTTGCGAAGCAAATTTTACCAAAATATTGTTTTCATTTTCAACTCTTGTTGCCGATATTGCCAACGTGCCACTCGAAGGAGGAAGTGGTTCTTCTGAGTTCAACAAAATTTTACAAGAATTGTTTTCAAAGCTATCCTATAGAAAATAAAGTAAAATATTCAAAAATATCTTGATTTATATAATAATAGTATAATAGAAAAGATGTATAAAAAAGAAGGTTATGTTTAGATAAATGAACTTACTATTCCAAAAGCTTGACGTGATTGAGAGGAATTTATAGATATCAATCTGGAAACTGTAGGCCTATCCCCGTCATTTTTTTAACTTGGATACCACAATCTTCGAGCGTACGTTTATTTTTTTGCTCATTTGCTGTCCTATTTGCCGCATTTTTTCTGTTTTGACAGCCAGAATCTTTTTTCTTGAAAGTGAACATGTTTTGTTTTTAAGAAAGTTTTGAATTTGATTGAAAACTATTTTTATGATACTTAGTAAAACTATATTAAATGTAAGAATCTCAATTATACAATGTACTTTAACCTTATTTATCTATCTATCTATCTATATATATATATATATATATATATATATATATATATATATATATATATATATATATATATATATATATATATATATATATATATATATATATATATATATATATTTATATATATATATATATATATATATATATATATATATATATATATATATATATATATATATATTATATATATATATATATATATATATATATATACATATATATATATATATATATATATATATATATATATATATATATATATATATATATATATATATATATACAGGGGCGGGTTTAGGGTTAGTCTTGTTAGGCGCATTGACTAACATCTTTTTTACTAAACTAAACAACGATCAGGCTAATGAAATAGGTTATATATTTTTGAGATTTTTGAAATTAAATAAAATCTCTATTTTTTTGGTCTAAACAGCAATACCAATTAAACTACGATAAGTATATGCGCACGCAATAGCCCCGTCTTGAATTTTTTTTTTTTCGGTAGCGTAACTTCGGACCAAGTTAGTCAAGAAATCTTGCGACTTATCTGGCCCGTTTATTCGGCTGACGAGATTTTAAAAAATTATTAAAGTACTTTAAATTTTTTTTATTTTTACTGTTCGGTAACGTAACTTAAGGCCAAGTTAGTCAAAAAAATCTTGCGACTTATCTGGCCCTTTTATTCGGCTGACGAGATTTTAAAAACTTTTTAAAGCACTTTAAATTGTTTTATTTTTGTCGTTCGGTAGCGTAACTTCAGGCCAAGTTAGTCGAATTTAAATATATGATGATTGCCCCCTGACTAAATTAAAAGAAGCCTTTTCTAACGATAATTCTTTTAATGTTTTAAATAAATTTTAAATAATTTTTGATTTGGCATGCATTTACAATCTGTAAGGTATTTGCATGAAAATGGATTTATTGAAAGTTTACAAACTCTTTATTCAGAATTGTCAGTAAAGATTAATCTCCTTCATAAGTCAGATTTTTATCAGTTGTTGACTGTTCATAAGTCAATAAAGAGTAAAGCACGACATTCCTCAGGAGTCAAGAACAACTAGGCGGTGAAGTAAGATTTACTTTATTTATCCTAACAAGTAAAATAAAAAATTACATTTAAAATTTGTAAACATATTATCCCTGCGTTCGTTCATTTGGGGATGTAAATTTATATATTAATATTATTATGAAATAAATTTTTTGCCTTGATCTAATTGGTTCAACTTTTTACCAAACTGATTTATTGTAAATAAATGATTAAATCCAAGTTTATTTTCCATTGAGCTTATTGTAGATTTTTTTTTACTTTAAAAATTTTTAATTGCCCTTTTTACAGATCTGATCAGATCTGTTTAAGCTCTGATCAGTTACAGTGATCAGTTACAGCTCTGATCAGTTACAGCTCTGTTACAGATCTGATCAGATCTGATTCAGCTGAATCAACTGACAATTGCTTATTTAGCTCATTTTGGATTTATCTGTATGGTGATAATAGTCTGGCAATGGATTTAAAAATACTGACAGCAATTGATTTATATTTAAATGCCTCTTTTTACAGTAATCATCCATTGTTTGTAAGCTTGTGCTCAATGTATCCAAATGAGTTTTTATCAATTGATAATTTGTTAGCAGTGTCTGTATCCACACATTTTATAGACTCAGGAAAATTAAAAAATGACCTTGTTAAGGAAGAAACATTTCATATGTGTAAAGAATTTTTATGGTCTGTGTTTCTTTGTGTTCTTGCTCTTTCAACTGTGTGTTCTACAAGACTTAAGTGTTACTATAGAACAGTTTTTTCCTAAAATATAAAATTATGTTTAATCTAAATATTGAACCTTATTCTATGTTCATCATCAGATATTGTTAATTTGTTGTTTTGTTCGAAGGCTTCTACTTTGAAAGATTTACAAATATAAAATTTGATTCAAAATAATTTTTGTTCCTGATGAAACTTCTTTTCCAAAAACAAATGGGCAATCTTTAAAAACTTTTATCATTAAAACAATTTTCATGGCTTAGATATTTACCTTCTGAAGATGGAGCATTTTGTTTGTGTTGCCTTTTGTTTAGATATAAATACCTTTTAAAAACTTCTAGATTTAAAAATTTATATTCTCAGTCATTCAAATATAGGCCAGATGCTGTGAGCACTTTTAGTAGACATTACCATGGGAAAAACAGGAATAATTATGAATATCACTCAGCTGAAATATTTATGAACATCATCACGCAGTACAAATTCTACATTATAATGCCTGGACCATACTTTCCGCAGTTTTAAATACTATGAATAGAAATATTTAAAATATAGATATTTTAATAAAGAATGTGAAAAGGAGATAGCTTTAAATTGTAAAAAGTTGTTTTGTGAGAAAGTCATTTTCTTAGGTCAACTTAATATAGCTTTCAGAGGTCATTGTGATGGTCATTGGCAAATATTCTTTAGTGGGTGGAGTAGGTAATTTTATTGAACTTTTAAACTACAGAATCAGAGGTGGGGATAAAATTCTTGAGCTTTATCTTAACAGCTGTGCAAGGAATGCATCTTATATTTCTAATTCCTCACAGAATGAATTAATAAGTTGTTGGGGAAAGGACATCCAGAATATTTTGGTTTCTGAAATAAAAGAAAATCGAATTTTTTCAGTTATTGCTGATGAAGCTTCTGACTGCTCCAATCAGGAATAATTGTCTTAATGTGTTTTTTACATTGTAAATTAGATACTGAATAAAGGTTTGTATATACACTGTATATACTAATCTTTATTCAGTATCTTTAAGATCTTCTTCAAATAGAAAGTTTGTATAATTTTTAAATTAAAAAATATAGTTATTTTATTTTTTACAGTTTTATTTATTTAAAAGGATTATTTATGTTATTTTAGTTGTTATTTTATTTTTTCATGAAGTTTTATTATCTTTATAAATTTAAACATGTCTAATTTTTATTGTATTCTTTTTTTCTATATTTATCTTTAGTTTTACCTGTCAATTGTTAATCGAAACTGGTACCGTTATGTACTGTATCTTTGGTATTTTAATTAGGAGCATTATATTCATTGTCTATTATATACTTTTTCTCCTTTTTTTCAGCTCTACCTTGAGATTCTACCTTGTGTGGTTATTTGAGTTGAAATATGGTTTTAATTTAGTAAGCTTTCATTATTTGAAGTTTACTTTATTGATCATTATTCAACAGTTTAGAGAAAATAAACACATGCAACACATTAACTGTAAGCATAACTTTGTTTACGAACATTAATATTACAATTGTTTAACATTATATAGCATATCTATCAATGAAATAAAATAAAAAAATGGGTTTTTATGGTTAGTTATATTATTGCTTTTGTGTTATTGCATTTCTCATAGTATGATAGTCATACTAATCAATTACATTATAATTTTTTTATAATTATGGTATTAATGTTATTACTTTTACATGGTTTTTATTCTATTTGCAAGTCACCTAACTATGCAAACCTTGTCTATTTAATTAATGATTTGTTATACTCCATACAGGTGTATTATTTATATGTTACAATTATACACAACAATGATGCCTACAAAGTATTTTAATACCACAGACAATATTTTATTTTTGTAGATTTAATGGATCCTTGCTAGTTTTAATACTATATATATATATATATATATATATATATATATATATATATATATATATATATATATATATATTAAATATGCAACCCCATTTGAGCCGCTTTTTTGAAGGCTTTGCAAATAACTTATTTATCAAACAAATGGGCTATTTTTTGTATTTCATCTTCATCCCCCCCCCTCGTCCTTTCGTGGGGAGGGGGCAGTAAAATCCGCAACCGACTTTTTTGACTAACCTCTTTAAAAAGCTAAACCCGCCCCTGTATATATATATATATATATATATATATATATATATATATATATATATATATATATATATATATATATATATATATATATATATATATATATATATATATATATATATATATATATATATATATATTATACATTATATATCTATATATATATCTATATATATATCTATATATATATCTATATATATATATATATATATATATATATATATATATATATATATATATATATATATATATATATATATATATATATATAAATATATATATATATATATATATATATATATATATATATATATATATATATATATATATATATATATATATATATGTTCTTTATAAACAAAGCAGCTCTTACGAATATTTTCCCGCATCAATTTTGACTAGACTCAGACTCCCGCATATGAGTTCGACTAATACTGTATTGTTAAGTTAACAATACATTTGAAACTTATATTTTAAAATTAGCAGTTTGAAAAGTTTTTCATTGAAGCCCTGTGTCTCTATTTTTTTTTTTTAAATTATCATTTGAGCGCCCCTTATGATCCTGCGCCCAGGTAAAAAGTACCCAGTGTTCCCCCTCCTCCCCCCCCCCCCCACGCGGCGGCCCTGGGTGTATTAGTTTAATTTAGCTAACGTCATTAGTTATTTTTGTTGTCTATTAATTATTAATTTATATTTGTTTAAAAAAACCAAATTGTCAAAAAAAAAAAAAAAAAAGCACCAAGTAGCACAAACAAAATGAAACTCTTTTAAAACTAATAATTTTTTTATGTCCCGATGCATATTTTATAGAATACCTTAAACTCAGGAAACTCTACTACTTCTTTTATAAATACTTTTGCAGGGCAATCAAACTTCTTTGTATTTTGCAAAATAACTTTCTTTTTTTTGAAAGAATGATCTGTACCCTAATCATTAAAAATAAGTAATAGTTATATAACAATTATATACAAAAAAAACCTCATATGAAATATATCAAATTATATGACAAACTTTTAACAGAATGATTTTTATTATGAATTGGAAAAAATATTTAATACAGTATATTACCAGAATATATCTGATAATATGTTTATATGTTTATATATATATATATATATATATATATATATATATATATATATATATATATATATATATATATATATATATATATATATATATATATATATATATACAACCCTCAAAATTAGGGTCAACATTTGGCAATGTCGACCTGAAAGTGTTTGAGGTAAGCAAAAAATTGCTGACCATGTTTCTATGTTTTTCAATAATTTATGACCTCATTTTTTCTAATTCAGAAGGTTGTGTATAATATACAGGGGCTAATCTTGACCAGTGGGTCAAGATAAGACCCTGTATATTATATACATGCCCCAATTTGGGCACCGCCAAATTCGGTTGGCAAAATTATGAACTTTTTTTATACAGCAAATGTAGCTTTTTTCGTGAAAAATACTTACATTAAGCAATATTTCCGCTACGTGTCCAGAGCTGTCGTCTATACTTTCAAAACAATTTAACAAGTGATTATCAGAGTTTTGCTTTCCATCCTGCTGGAAAGCAGCATCTGCTATCCTTATTTTTAAAAATTCTGGAGAGCGATCTGACTCGTCTAACTACCGTCTTTTAGTCTTCTTCCTATCCTAAGCAAAGTTTTTGAGCCTTTAACTAACAAACATTTCATTTCTTATCTTGAATCTAATAACTTTCTTTCTGATCATAAATATGGATTTCCATCTTCTCGTTCTATTGCTGTTTTGTTAACAGTAATTACTGATTAGTTTTATTGTGGGTTAGATAGATGTGGAGAGGCTAAGGCTCTTGACATTTTAAAGCTTTTGATAAAGTTTGGCATGCTGGTCTTTTTCTTAACCTTTCTTCTTACGGTGTATCAAGTAACATCTTTAAGATTATTGCATTCTTCCTTATCAACCATAGTATAAAAGTTGTCCTTAATGAACAGCACTATTTTTCATTTCTAGTAACTTATGGGACACATTAAGGTTCTATCCTTGGTCCTGTTTTGTTTTGTATTTTCATTATTGATCTTGCAGACAATTTCATGTCTAAAATAGCTCTTTTTGCTGATAACTCATTTTATATTCTTATCTTGGCAAAAAGTATTTTCTTTTTGATTGCATAGAACAGGCAGCCAATCTTAAATCTGATTTCATTTCTATAACAGATTGAGGCTCATAGTTGCTTGTAAACTTAAACTCCAACAAAACTCAATTATTTATAGCAAACAATTATTGCAATTCTTATCAAAATTCCTATGTTAATAATCAGCTAATCTATCACTAAGTCCTATCATTTACTATTGAACTTTCTCTTCTAGGCAAACTTTTTAAGTGCAAATGAAGGTGATATTAAAATACTTCAAAAGTTGCTGAACAAAGCTATGAGACTTATTTTAAAATGCGATTGGTATTCACATAGTAAAGAAATGTTGGAGAAAATTGGATGTTTATCAGTCAAGCAGAAAATCATATTTAAGGTCTTGAATTTTGTTCATGAGGTAGTAACTAATCCAAATAATAAAATATATGTGAATATGTTCAGAAAGAACAGTGACTTACATAAATACAATACCAGGAATGCAAATAATTTTCATATGGAAGTGAAAAACAATATAAGTGGGCAGAAACTAATTTTCTGTAATGAACTCAAGCTATATAATTAAGTACCTGAAGAAACAAAAAATATAAGAAATAAAAGTTTCAAATCAAGTGAGATAAAATTTATCAAAAATAAATGAACAGATTAAGGGTAGACTTATCAAGGATATAGTGTCATGATTAGTGAATAAACAGGTGTAATTTTCAAATAATGATAAGAAGAAATTAGCATGAAATTGCTATCTTAAACAAGACAAGAACAACAACAATAAGTATAAAATATATATCAAATATTAAATGTAGTTAAATCTATTAAATGCAAATAAACAATGTTTATTGTGTCAATATATACTACTAAAACTAATTAAGATAAAATTGAGTAAGATAAAATTATTTAAGAAATTATTATACAGGACTGCTCCAACTGTGTTAACCTTTAAGCATACTAAAATATATAAAAATTCAGTAAATTTCAGTATTAATTGATATTTATATTTAAATCTGATATTAAAATATGAATATATAATTGAATTGCAGTACGAATATATAATTAAATATACAATATAGAATAAGATATTACCATTAAAGTTAAATTAAGTAGCTTAAATAATGAATTTCCCAAATAAAACAACAAACCAGACCCCTGAGTTTTTTTTCCAAAAAAAAAAAACATTATCTAAAACATTGTGCATCATTGTGAGACTTACTGCATTCTCATTTTTCTTTTTTAAATACTGTGCTTTTGTTGTCAGACCTTTGTCTTTTCCTTGTTGACAATCAAGAGTACTACATGATGAAAAAATGAATGGGACTCCAGTAAATGGAAGATCTTTACTCTCAAAATAGATCTTGTGGTTTTTCTTCATTATATCTAAAGATAAATAAAAATTAAATATTTTTCTGTTTAAAATTTTGGTGATTTATTTAATTTTTTCAACAATAAAAATAAGATATTTAAAAATGTTAAAAAATGTTTTAATACATACACACATACATACATACACACATACATACATATATATATATAAGAAATATGTATATAAGTGATGCAAACCATCAATATTATGTTCCATAGTTCGTTTAAATGCTACAACATAATGCACAGTATGTAACATTTCATGTTCTTTAATTTTGGCATAAACATCTGTTAATGTTGAAAAAATTTGCTGCACTTCACTCCCTGCAGTAGGACTTGACACTTTGACCAACATGTTTGGGTCTTGATCTATTAGTATGGCACATAAAAAAAAAATCACAAATAACCATAAAAGCTACAAATAGATATTGCAACATTTTACACTTTTATGCCCAACAACATTGTTGTTGGACATGGTCGTTGGGTAAATTTTTTGTCTAAGAACAAGTTTAATGATATTTAATGATAATCAACAAGCTGATTATCATTAAACTTGTTCTTAGACACAAAATTTAAAAACTTCAAAAATAAAGATTAAATTACTTAATTAAAGAGTTAAAGGAGAGTTAAAGTATTTTTAATTATATAGTAGTATATTATATACTATATTTTATATTAATATATTATATACTATATAATTAAATAGTAAATGTAAGGAGTATATATAAATCTTACTCAACACATGTTCAAAATCGATGGAAGAACTATCTTCATTCATTTTATTATTAGTTTAAGAATATATTCAAATTGTTCAAAAATATGTAAAAATTAAATAAGCGAATCAAGCAGTGACGAGCACTATCAACGCGTTTATCAACTGTTAGTTTGGATGATCCAAAAGTAGGTATATAAAAATTTCGCATGCGCAATAGCGCAATAGCGTGAAGCAAAAACATTTTAGGTCTGTGTTTTCTTCAAAATCGCAAACCTACTTTTGGATCATCCAAAAGATATTTAACCATTAATTATTAGAGCTGGATATTTGTTGTTGAAATTGCTTTGTTGATTGTTTGATATGGTAAATTTTATTTGGATATTAACAAACTTGTTTACAACATTATAACTTTTAATTTTATAAAGCATAATTTAAACTTATTATTCATATGCAATGTTAATAATAATTATGTTTCGTGAATAATAAAACACGTGTAACATAACACATATAAAAACACGTTTAATTATTTACAAAACATAATTATTATAAACATTTTATGTGAATAATAGTAATAATAATAAGTCGAGTTATTTATTATTATCAAAAGAGTATAAAGATCATTATACGATGTTTGATAATAATAAAATGATATAAATAACATTAATGATTATTTGATGTTATTTAATCATATATAAATAAACAATCACCAAGAAGTTAAATACTTTTGCAGTTAAATATTTAATTAAATCAAATGAAATAAAAACTTCACTTTGTATAACTTTGAATCAAAGTTATACTAATATAAATTACGTGGGGCAAATGGAAGCTAAATAACATATTATCTGACTAGATAATTTTGTAAGTGCAAATACATACAGCTTTGTAATAAACTCCGAATTAATTTCATGCACAGCAGATAATACACATAATTATGATTTATAATTTTAAATTATATAATTATAGTTTTATTTAAATATGTCAACAATTATTAAACATCTGTTCAATAATACTAATTATATTGTGTTCCTGTTCCTAAATTTTCCCACTATTTTTCTTTATAAAAAACAAAACTGCATGTGCCTTACAGTGAAAAACATGGAAACTAGACCTTAGTACTTGGAGCAGTGTAAAAATACTAAGACAAAGTGATAAGTTCTATTTCTGAAAATATACTATTATTTCTCAGACTAAATAATATTTATTTAGGCTTAGACACAAGCCAAATTAAATTTTTTTGCTTTAGATGATTTAAGATGGATGAGTTTCATGTTGAAAGTATTGATGACTTCAAATTAAAAAAAGAAAAAGTTTTAGGGACATTTGCATATGGAAAGGTACATTTGTATATATATTTAGATTAATTTTTGGTCTGTTTATATTGAATTCTACTTTAATCATATTTCTCTGTTTTTCAGTTTTTGTAAGCTGAAAAAACCATAGGTTATAAGCTTATTATTTGACTGTCATGGATGATTTTAATATTAATTTTGATTTAATTTTTTTATTAGTATTTGTCATCATTCGAAAACAGAGATTTTTCTATCAATGTATTGTTATGTTATCAACTGGTGTTGATAACATAACTATACTAAATACTGACAAACTAAGTGACTGTTATCAGTTATATTTTTATGTAAAAAAATGCCTTTAGCATAATTTACGAAAGATTCTTCTAATGATGCTCTTTCTCTTTTATACAAGGTGCAAAAACGAATTGTAAACATAGTTGGACCTGCTCTGGCAGCCAATCTCCAACCTTTGTCACATCGTCGTAATGTTGCTTCTCTTTCTCTTTTCTACAAATACTATGATGGGCACTGCTCTAAAGAGCTAGCGTCCCTTGTGCCATCTACTAAAATTCATTCTCGTGTTACTCGCCATTCAATTAAGTCTCATCCTTTTTCTGTGACTGTTCCTAAGTGCTTCAAAAACTCTTATTCTTCTAGTTTTTTTCCTCGAACATCAGTTCTTTGGAATTCGCTTCCTTCATCTTGCTTTCCTGATTCATATAATTTGCAATCTTTTAAGTCATCAGTCAATCGTTATCTTGCTCTACAGATTTAGTCTTTTCTATTCCAGTAACTTTCAACTCTTATAGTGGTTGCTTGCAGCCTTGTTGGAAGTGAAGATGTTAAAAAAAAAAAAAAAAAAAAAAAAAAAAAAAAAAAAGATAAAATAGTATGAGGTTTTTTTTCAATGGTTCAAAAACATTGGAATCTGAAAGAAGAAAAAGTATCAAAGGTTGTTAAAATTGTTGTTCGATTTACTACACATGCCATTACATTGCATAATAGGTAAATATACAAATTAACTTACCCTACAGTTGGTGTATTTATTCTACTTTTAATAAATAATTACTGTATAAATGTTCAATTTGATATGTAAACTAAACACAACTGCCTACAACCAGCACTATTCATAACTGTTAAAGTACTATGAGGATAAACTAATATAAACTGCCTATAACCAGCACTTGACTTTATTGACAATGCTTCCTAAAAAACTCATATGGCCTGAAAGTGTTAAAGAAGCCTACAATTAAGGGATTATAAAGCATTTATAATTGAAACAAAAGGACACATAAGGATTGATATTTATTTAATATCTTATTTAACATAGAAGTGTAAGTATTCTTAATTGGTTTTAAGTTATCTTTAACTTAAAACCAATTAACTTTATATTTAAATTATATTTAGTTGCGAAAAACTGGCCAGGTTTTTCAATCGTTTTGAAAACATTTAAGTTTATGTACGAAACAAAAAATTTCTGTTTTACAGACATACATGGAAACATAAAAAACTTTGATGTTCTCAAAACATCTGGGTGCGAAAGAATAAAAAGAATATTCACAAACACTAAAAACCGGCCAAATTAACGAACAAACAAATTCTATTGGTTCAAAGAATATGCTAACTAAGCAAAATAAAGTTTTAGAGTATTCTGTGGAAATGTTTTAGAAATTGTATTATTTACGATTTGTTACTTTTTGAGATTTCTAGCATAAATAATATTAAGAATATATATTATTTGTTTACAAAAATAAATGTTTTAAATATATATTGATTAATTTCTCAAAATTTTAAAAGTTTATTATAAATTATAGATTTTATTTTTCTTATTTTTTATTTAAAAAGTATGTATTCTTTATGTAAATGTAATTTTGTGTATCTGTTTTTTATCGTAATGTATCTTTTAAAGCAATTTTTATGATTTAAACAAAGACTTACAAAAATAATTGCGTTTTCAATGAAGTTATAACCGTTAAAGTTAATAAAACTAATTATATAACAAACTTATAAGAAGTTTCTGGTTACTAAACACAAACAACGCATACTAAGTAACTGGTCGAGGAACAAGCACAGCACCTGAGATCACAACAGAACGCAAATATATATATAGCAAATAATTAGATATAAAGAACAGTTTCTAGATATTGGTTTACTAACTCTAATTATTTTTGCATAAATTGCCATTCTTAAAATTTGTTTTACTTTTTTCTGCTTTAAATACTAATAAAAATTAAAAAGCCCACTCACTAAACATCATCAGCAACATTGTGAAGCAGTATTGCTTCCTGCTCATAAAGTATTTTTAACCTTTTTAGTTGATTTCTATCTTGTTAATTTAATTTCTATAGTAATTCAATGATTTAATTATTCCATCTGTTTATCTTACTAAGAATAATTGCTTCAAATATGTTAAACTTTTCAGACTACGCGAAACATAAAATAGGTATTAAAAAAATATATTTTTTTTATTTATATAATAGTTTAGCTTAAATAAAACTAAAACTTGCAAACTTTATTATATAAAGAATATTTGTTTCCTTTTTAAGCAACCGTAAGATGTTACTTTATATAAAAAATGTCGCCTAATTTTATAAAAAAAAATTATAAAAGAGCGATGTTTTGAAAATATTTGTTCTAAATGTAATTTATTTAGCTTTAAGTTTTTTCGCGTATAAAGATTTTTTTTTTTTTTTTTTTGTAAATTTCTCTCATTAGTCCTATTAATCTTTTGCTCTTTTTTTTTTTTGCTTTTTAAAATGTTCTCAAAACGACTGAAAAATCTGGCCAGCTTTTCGCAACTAAATATTTTTTACGTGGTCAGCAATCGAGAGCGATCGCTCCCGCTTCCCGACAAAGCCTGAAAACAAATTCTCCTGCTTTTGAGTTGTATCTGCTTAGAATGCAAAGCTTGTTAAATATTTTTAATGCATGTTGACAGTTTTTTAAGGCACCATAACTATATTTTTTGTTAGCACTACCTCTTGATAAATAATTTTTTATTATTGTATGAATGTTAAATGCAGATATTTTTTACCATCAATTTAATGTTATTATAAACAAACTAGCTGGTATGACTTGTACGATACAGTTGGTGCCAAGTCTAATCCACACCCGACAATTTCTAAACTTGTTCCTTAGTCTTTATACTTTAAATTATTTAGTAAACTGCAAAAAGTAAATCATTTTAAATTTCTGGTAGATGGTAAAATACAAATTTCAATTGCAATTAAAATTAAAGTTCGCATTTTACTACCTACCAGATGGTAAAATGCGAACTCTTAAGAAAATTAAATCAAACTTTAATTGCTCGTTAAATTATAATTAATTTATTAGAAAAGTTTAATTTAAATAAAATATATCGAATACTAATATATTAAATTTAAAAAATCAATGAATGTTTTTAATATCATGACTGTTGTGGTCATTAAAATGTTTTAGTTTGCTAAAAAGTACACAGTTTGCATTTTACTGACTACCTACAGCTCTTGATTTCTAATTTACTGTTCTTTAGAACTAATTAGTATTTTTACTTATTACATATTTACTTATTTACTTTAATATTTTCTACATAATAAAAGCATCTTTAGCATTCACAGTTGTGTGAAACTAAGGCTATGATAATATTTTAATTCAAATTTGGACATTAAAAATGGACCCAAGAGACCTAGTTATTTCAAATAAGTTAGCTTTATCTGTTTGATATGTTATATAAAAGCCTTCCCAGTAGGCATGGACGTAAAAAAACACGTTTCAATTGTCTTGTACACATCTTTTTTAGGTCCAGTGCCCACAGGGATTCTGTAAAAAAACTAAATTATTTATATTGTTGAAATATATTAACAATTACTGTTTTCATTGCGGAATTAGCTGCGGTGACCCGTATGATAAGGGTTGTGGCAACTCTATTCCACATCTTATTTCCAAACTTGTTCTTAGTTAGGTCTCTATACCTTAAGCAAACAGCAAAAAATAAGTTGATTTAAAGTTATTGGTAAACAATTGACTTAATATACTTTAGAAACTGTACTTATTTACTTAATGTACTCCAATATTTTATACATAAAATGATCTTTAACATAGAGTCAGTTGGGTAACAATTCTTCAGGTGTTTTTATAAACTTAAGCTATAATCAAGATTTTACCCTCTCATCAAGATTTATTTAAAAAACAAATTTGGACATTAGAAAACTGGCCTAAGAGACTTGTTTTTTTAAATAAGTTAGCTTTATCCGTTTGATACTTTTTATAAAAACATTGCTGTAAAAAACAAAACTGTTAACTAATTCATTCAATTAAGTTGTTTTTACATCCGAAGTTATTAAACATGTTGTTTGTGCTAATCGATACTTAATGTAAATGGAAACTTCGAGTACAAAATGCGATTTTAAGTATAAATGATTTCTATTCATATAAATAATATAAAGTAACAAAAATAAAAAATGTTCAATTTGTCCATTTGAAACAATAAATCCAAAAATAAAAAAGTATAGATATTTTCTTAAGAAACAAAAAACATTTTTCTTGAGATAAAATAAAAATATTAACTTTACAAAAAAAATATTATATTTAACAAAAAGTAACAAAAATATTTAAAAAATGATTTAAATTGAAACATTATTTCATAATTATTAGGCTTTAGGTAAGCCATAATCAAGTCAGCCATAAGAAAAGAAACTCAATCTAAAAATGTAACAAAATAATTTTATACATAATACACATTAATTACAAATTAACGTGTCATGTAATCAATTAATTTTTTTGAAAACTCAAAAATGCGAATAAGTGGATAAGAAACTTACTTTTTATTTTTCCATAAACCTGACAGATCAACATGAATATGAGCTCAGTCTATTAGCATAAAACATCACAACAATTAATTAAATAACAGAACGTTTTTAAGTAAACTCTAGATAACCCACACCTTTAAAGGACAAGAAATTAGTTTAGTTAAAAGAAAATTAGAGTTATTGGAAGTATAATATATAAAAAAAAAAGCTAAAGTGGAATTTTAAAATTAGTTTATATTCTTGAGGGTTGAGTTATCC